TGCAATGATTAATATTAGACCAGATTTAGCCTTTGCAATATCTCTGTTGAGTAGATACATGTCAAACCCAAGGAGTGATCACTGGATTGCTCTAAAATGGGTGCTCAGATACATTAACAGTACAGCATGTATACGCTTAGAATATTGTAAAAGAACATCTACACTTGATCTTGTTGGGTTTGTGGATTCAGACTTTGTATGTGACAGGGATAGCAGGAAGTCAACTACAGCCTATTGTTTAACACTTGGAGACTGCATCAGTTGGAAATCACAACTCTAGCCCCTAGTTGCTCTCTCATCGACTGAAGCAGAATATCTAGCCCTGGCTGATGGTTTCAAGGAAGCCATATGGATGCAAGGACTACTGACAGAAGCTGAGCTGACTGATAGCAGAGTGACTATCTTCTCAGACAGTCAAAGTGTTATATTGTTAAGCAAAAATCCTATCTATCATGAAAGAACAAAACATGTGGACGTAAGATTTTATTTCGTCAGAGACCTAATCACCAAAGGATTGATTGAGCTAAGAAAGGTTCCCGCTGAAGAAAATCCAGCAGGGATGGGAACAAAAATTGTCACTCCAGCAAAGTTCAAGCATTGCATGAACTTGCTATTTATGAAATAAGCAGAAGACAACCGAGCTATGAGGGAATCAATTGAGGTAAACTGCACTAAAGAGAGTCAAATGGGGAAGTTGGTTTCAAGTCTTCAAGGTGGAGATTGTAAGTGTGAAGACTGAAACGATGCCGTGTTACTTAACTAAGTAATACGCTGTTGTTTCAGGATAATAGAAGAATCAATTTGGACCATCGGTCATCTTGAGATCCAACGGCTCAATTAGTCTAATTCTGGTCAATTGTATTTAAGCAAATGAGTCTTCAGTCTTCAAAGAGAGCTTCTCGATCGATATGTTGTTTAAAGGAAATTGCTCTCTTAGGGTTTTCGTCTAGTTTTGAAATCGTGATCGTTGTAACTAATTTGAGTGATTGTGTTAGTCATTATGGGAGAGGGTTATTGTCTCTCTAAGGGCTGGGGAATCTTAATGTTATTTCTCTAGGTTAGTTGTTACAAGATTGATTGATTTCGGCGTTTCTTTCTTGGATCATTTGATTTGGAGTCTGTAATTTGTAAACTGGTTCTTAATAGTGCAGTGAGCTTCTCCTGTTTCCGGAGCTCAACGTGGACGTAGCCTTCCCATTTGATACGTTTACAAGTCCTAAAACACTTGTAAACATGAGTGGACAAGGAATTGCAAGTCCTAAAACACTTGTTAATTCGGTTGAATCAAAGAATTTCATTCCAAGTCCTAAAACACTTGGATTGTGGAGTGTGGAAAGCATTGGAGGAGATTCGGCCCAAGCAAGTCCCAAGGGGAGAGAGAGCCCAAGCACTTCGGCCCAAACCATTTCAAGTCCAAGCCCAACAAAGGAAGCTCAAGTCCACCAAGAGAGAAGCCCAAGTGTTGAAGTAAGCCCATTCGGCCCAATGCTCATTCCAAAGGGGAAAGTCCACTTGAACCCTTATTGGATCCAATTGCAAGATCTTCAAGGCCCAATCTCTTGCACCCTTATTAGTAGACTTGATTAGGATCATTGATCAAGTTTTGGGCTAATAAAGTTAGTTTTTTCAACTAATAGGGTGGTTAAAGACATGAACCCTAGAATTAGGGAATCATGTCCCTTTTTTGCATTAAATGGGTATGGCCTTAATTTTGAATGGAAGGCTTGTAATTTTTGTGTAATATTTATTATTTTTCATTTTCTTGTAATGTATTTGTTGATTACTCTTTTAACCTTGTAATTGCCTATATAAAGGCAACTATTCTCCTTGTAATGGTAGTTCATGAAAATTATCAAAAACTTGGTTTAACCATTGAGAGAACTTTGTGTTCTTATTGAGATTTCTTTATCCAAGTCTTGGCAAGGAGATTTGGTGGTGAATCGATTCAAGTTGGTGTAGAATTCCTTTATGCTTGAAGTGTTCATTCTTGTCTTAACCTAAAATTTGCAAGTAAGTGCAACATTGCTTCCATTTGTGTTTGGCCGAATTTGAGCTTTAGTTTAGGGCATATTTTGTGTTGTTTGTTGTTGAAAATTGGTTGGATTTGGATCACCATTCTTGGAAAGGTGAACCACGGTAAAATTGTGGTGTTGAATCTTTTTTGTGATTGCTTGATCTGTTAGTTTTGTTAGGTTTGTGTGTGTGTTTTTACAACAAGTGTCTTCCATGGCTTCTATGGTAGACTTGTCAAGGTTATGTTTGCTATTAAATCCATTTTCATTTCTTTTTTGCCTCTTCTTGCTACCACTGTTCTTTGTCAAATAATTGTATCTGTGATTATTGCCTTTTTTGTGATTGTGGTGTTTTTGGTCGTTAAGTTCGTTAAGTTTGTTGGTTTTCAGTGTGAGTACTCGTACTCTTCTCCCTTCTTTGTAGGGTGTGTTTTGCTCCTCATTACTTTTTTATTGTTGATTTTGGTTTATTTGCAAGTAAATTGGGCTTTGGTGTCTGTGGTAGTGGTGGTGGATCCAGCTGGGGGTTTAAGCCATTGAAGAGAAGTACAAATTTGGTGGATGGATATAGATTTATGGCTTTGTCTTTGAGTTTATGTTTTGCATTTTTTGTTGGGATTTTAATTTGGAGCAGCTTGGATTTAGTTTCTCGTTTTGGTGGTATCAGTAACGGGTGGAGTTGGGCATTTGTGTTACAAATAGTGATTGCTTCAACATTGCTGATGTTGTTGTTCCTTTACAACATTGTGGCGAATACAGTGTTGTATATGTATTGCAAAGCTATACATGGAGAACTTGCAATGGAGATTGCTGAGGAATTTTCCAAGGAATATGTGAGCTTACCTTTTGATAATGGGAAAGTGCCTCATCTTGTTTCTATTACTTATAATGGATACTAGGTTCTCTGACATTTATTTTTTGTTTGTACTTTGTAGTTGGTAAGTCGTGTACTATCAGAGCAAAAGTATGTGAATATGTAAAAATCTGAGTTGTGATCAATCTTTGAGTTTCTTGTGCTTCATTTTGGTCGGACCTGCAATTCTAATTAGGTTAATTCGTAATAAACTTTCTATGTCAATGCCATGTCCGTAGCTTGTCAGTGAAGATGGAACTACGTATATTTGCTAGAACACTGACTGATCTGGAAACTTCTGTATTTTCATAAATTTGTTGAAGCAGAACTACATAAAACAGTATTTGCAAGTTCAATTGACTGCACAGCTTTATAATCAGGAATCAGGAATTAGGAATAGAACCTCATCCATCATCCATCTCAAGACTATATAACTCATCGCACAAATACAAAAGGATAATACTATACTTATAACCCAATCTTATAAATTTTCTCTCACAACTCCAATGTGAAAATAATTGATCAGCTCGTAATTAGGTCCCATCAGCTCACTATGGGTCCCACTTATCCAATTGCGAGTTGATCAATTGGGAGCTGACATATCGGGATTATGAGAGAAAGTTTTCTAAAATTGGATTATGAGTCAATCTTTACTAAATACAAAAATGGACACAAAGCTAGTAACATCAACTCTTAATTAAGCCTCTTAATTTTTATTTACTTATTTTAAGCAACAATTCAATGACCTATTAGTTTGTGTGTTATGGACGGTTTGGACAAGGATTTATTTGTCAACGTCTTCTAATTTTAGGATGGGATCGACCAAAACTTATTTGTATATTAAATAATAAAATTTAGACTAAACAACATTTTCCCACCCGAGGTTTGCCTTAATGACACTTTTCCACCCAAAAAACTTCAAAATACCACAACCCCGCCCAAAGTTTATATTCCGTTAAATACTCAAATATACTTCACTTTCTCAACTGGGGTTTGACAAGTTACTAGGAGTCAGGGTAAGAGGGGTTTGTAGAGTAGAGGTCGGTGGATCCAATAGTGGTGACCGATTGAATATTCGTCACCAGAAATCAGCTAAGAACAAAAAACCCTAGCTTTGTGGTGGCTGATAATAGGCAAGAAATCATATGTCGGAGTGAGAGGGATTTTGTAGAGAGGAGATTGGAGGTTCAAATGGTGGTGACAGAGAAAATTTTCACTACTGAAATCGGCTTTGAGTATTAACAGAATATTAACTTTGGGTGGGAAAGTGGTAAGCTGCAACTTTTTGTGTGGGAAAGTGTCATTAAGGAATACCTTGGGTGGGAAAAAGTTGTTTACTCTTAATTAATAATATACGTATATATAATCCAAAATTATTTTGTTTGACCAACCAAAACTTAATTATTGATTTCTTCATCATATCAAAAGTCAAGACAAAGACTTATTCATCTTCTAGTTTTAATTAAGAGTAAACGACATATTCCCACCTAAGGTTTTGCGAAATCCCAAGTTGGTACCCCTGGTGGCCTGGTTGCATTTATTCCAGATTCTTACACTTAAAGCGACAGAAAAGTGTTTGATGTAAAGATAAAGGGGTAAATTGATCATTTTGCAGGAGGCAACACACGTTAGCAGATCGCCACTTCTAACAGTGCTTAGGCACACGTTAGCAGACATCACCCTCGACGTTTTCGACGATTCTTCCACCCAAAATCATCCTTGTCACCACCATTTGAACCCTCATCCTCCCCTCTACAAAACCTTATCATTCACAACCCCTTATCACTCGCTAATCGCCAACCACGACAGCTGCAACATGCAACTATTTTTTATCGATTTTTTATCGTTTTGATTGGTGACAACCACCATTTGACTCATCGCATCCCCCCGACAAAACCCCTAACCTTCTCGGCCACAAAAACTCATCGTTTGCCATCCACCATTTCACCAAAAACACGATGAACACGAACGTCTTCACTAGCGAACGACAACTAAACAATTGGTTGGGACATAGGCGTTTTGTAGAGTTGGAGACGCTGGTTGCAGTGGTGGTGTCCAATTGGATTTTTACCTCTGGAATCCGATGAAGAACAACGAAACCCTAAACCTAATAGCGTTGGTGATCGGAAGAGCCAATGAGTCGGGAACCAGAGGGGTTTTGGATGACGGACTATAGGGAAGGTGGTGCAGGTAACCAAGGGGTTCAATGGCGTCAGAAACAGACTAGATCGGGCAAAAATCAAGAGGGTGCGTAGTTGTCGAGGGTGTTATTAAAATAAATTAAAATTAAAATGGTAAATTTTATAATTTTACTAATTTAGGGGTTAAAACATAATTTATTAAATTATTTGTTAAGGGCATTATGGTAATTGCATCCTATGTAACCTAAAAAATGCTAATAGTGTTACTTTAAGGGTGGGAATTTGGAATAAATGCAACAATGGGTACCAACCGAGGATTTCGCCAAACCTCGGGTGGGAATATGTCGTTTACTCTTTATTTAATTCAAGTTGGCATAAAATCAAGGAAATTTTCATTTTTATTTTGTCTTCCCGTAGGTCTCAATATGTGGGAGACAAGTTGTTCACTTGGTCAAATTAACAATGCATACATATGAATTCCACATCAATTATTTACTAATTGAATGATTCTACAACACAACACCATCTCTCTTCTTCTTCATCATAAATTCATAATCACCTTTCTCTATAGTGTGTCTATCTCTCATCATCCACCATGTCAACTCCTCCGGTCAGCGTCCACACAATCACCTCTGAATCAAAACGCATAAAAAAGCAACACTCATTTCACTTCAGGGTTCTCTGCGTCATCTTCGTCGTCCCCATTACTTACTCTATCTTCATTTACCCGATCCTCAAACCTCAACTCCTTCTCCTAGACCAAAAAAGTCTTATTCTCGCTCTCTCTTACACAGCCTTTGTTTTTGTTTTATCACTCTGCGCTACATAACCTACAGTGTCTTCAAAGGATTCTATGGTAGACCCGTCAAGTTTGTATATGCTATCAAATCCATCTTTAACTCTTTTCTGCCTCTCTTCGTTACTACTTCTCTTTGTCATATAATTTTATCCGGGGTTCTTGTTATTTTTGCAGTTTTCTTGTTTTCGGTTGTTAAATTTGCTGAAGTTGTTGGGTTCGATAACCATGATTACTCTTCTCCTTATTTTTTATGGTTTGGATTGGTTATTTTGATTGTTTATCTGTTTGTTTTGGTTTATTTGGAAGTGAAGTGGAGTTTGGTGCCTGTGATTGTGGTGGTTGAATCAAGCTGGGGCATGAAGGCTTTAAAGAGGAGTGCAAGTCTAATAAGTGAATATAAGTCGATGGGTTTGTCTTTGTATTTGACTTTCTTAATGATGACAGGACTTTCAGTTTGGAACAGTTCGTTAGCGAGTACAACTTTTTTTGGTACGGATTTTGATGATAAGTGGGATGTGGCACTTGTGTTTCTATCTTTGACGACTTCACATTTGCTAATGTTGGTGTTCCTCACAAACGCAGTGGCCAATACTGTGTTGTATATACATTGCAAGGCTGTTGTTGATGAGGAAAGGAATATGTAAGCATCAGTTTTGATGATGGAAAAGTACCTCTTCTTAAAGATTATTAGATTTTACTGCTTTGTAATGTCTCAGAAGTAATTTGTTTCTTGTATCAACAAAGCTACGGACACCAAAAATTTTGCATCGAAAATGTGTACCGGCCTACGTGTACCCCTGACTCATACCACGCCTGATTTTTCTATAATTATGTTTCTAATGAACGGCCGTTCACTCACATGGACTCCCGTCCATATTATATGGACGAGGATCCATTTACTACAGACGGGCGTCCCCATTTAAAGGACGCCAGTCCATAAATAAAATGGAATAAAATTTTTTTATAAAAATTAGGGACGACTGTTCATCCGTTATGGATGGCCGTCCCTTTATTTTGGATAGGCGCCCGCAAATAAGGGACGCCCGTCCTTAACCAAAATATAAAAATAAAAAATAAAAAACTTTGGGGATGGCCGTCCATAAATTTTGGACAACTGTCCCTTACGTTTGGACAGGCGTCTATTACCTTATGTTTGGACCGGCGTCCATTCGTCCGTACTTTAAAAAAAAAAAAAAAATCTAAACAAAACTCTTCTTCTTCGTCTTCATTCCCCATCTCCTCTCTTTTTCTTTATCTTCATTCCCCTTCTCCTCTCTTCTTCTTCGTCTTTGTTTATGAGACAGACACATGTACTTATAAATTTATCAATAAAGAAAATTCAAAAATGATAATCTAAATGCTATAGTACAGTGTAAATGCTATAGTTGTGGGGTAACTATTGATTTTGAATGACAGTTTTGGGTGGTGTTGGTGTATGATGGGTTGCATTTGTTGTAAACCCTCTGCTATTGAAGATAGTAAAGAGAGTCCAAGAGAGCGCCTATCGAGCAAGGCCTCATCTAACTTAAGAGTATCAAGGGCAACTTCCTCAAGGAGAGAGGACGCATATCAGGTGAAAGATCGATATGATAGTAATGATGGGGGAACAATGTTGATTGATAAGCAGGTGAATGGGTATGTTCGGTTGCATGGTGAGAATTTCGATCGGAAGAGGGAGAAAATGGAATATGTTGTTGCTCAACATCATCCAGGGATGGGTAATATTCCGAAAGCTACAGAAGGTGAGCAGGTGGCAGCAGGGTGGCCAACCTGGTTGGCCACAATGGCTAGAGAGGTGATCAGGGGATGGGTTCCACGACTTGCAGATTCTTTTGAGAAGCTGGACAAAGTAAGCTTCTTCTTCTTTAATCCATTAATAGCTTTTTTTTTTTTTTTTTTTTTTAAAGTATGGACAGGTGAAACATAAGGGACGGCCGTCCAAAATTTATGGATGGCCATCCCCAAAGTTTGTTTGTTTTTTTTTTTTTTTTTCATATTTTGGTTAAGGACGGCCGTCCAAAATTTATGAACGGCCGTCCCTAATTTTTATAAAAAAAAAATTATTCCATTTTATTTATGGACAAGCGTCCTTTAAATGGGGACGCCCGTCCGTAGTAAATGGACCCCCGTCCATATAATATGGACGGGAGTCCATGTGAGTTCACTAGAAAAATAATTATAGAAAAATCAGGCGTGGTGTGAGTCAGGGGTACACGTAGGCCGGTACACATTTTCGGTGTTCGTAGCTTTGTTGTTCTTGCATTGTCATTGAAAAAAAATTAGGTTAAGTAATAGAAAAACAAAGTGTATGAGACAGATTCTCTTGCTGGATTGAAAAAAATTTAATTTTATATATCTTTGGCAGGTATCTTTTGTATTTAAATTTTTCTTTTATGGAATTGTTATCATATATAAAAATAAATAAAATAAAACAAAAACTTATGTCCTCCTAATTGTAAAACCATTTTTATAAAACATTTTCAATTAGAATGTAGTTCTAGGCTTTTAGAGGAGATGTATGGTTGAATGTTATGAAGTAGGGGTGTTATTGAGCCGAGCCGAGCCGAGTTTTCGGCTTAACGAGCTCGGCTCGTGAGAGAAGAAGATTAAACGAGCCGAGACCGAGCCGAGCCGAGCCAGAAAGTATATGGCTCGGCTCGACTCGGTAATAGATTTAGTATATTTCGAGCCGGCTCGCGACCTATCTCCAAATAATTTTTTTTTTTTAATTCAATTTTTTTTACAAAAGTTCGTTGGGCTGCCGTCTGAATGTCTGATTGTCTTAAATTCAAATAAATGGAAATCATAATTTCACTTTGAAGCTGAATCAATGTTCAAAATTGAAAATGAGAAAATCTAGTTAAAATATTTAAATATGGCAGGCAAATTCAGAAGGGCTTAAAATTGAAAAATTATAATTTCACTTTTCATTAATTTGCTGGGCAGAGGAAGAATCACTAATGTCTGATGCATTTTGTTAAATTTTTCACTTTTCATTTATTTTGTCAAACTAATTTATTTTTGTCAAACTGGTTTATTTTTATCAAACTGATTCATTTATTTTTCACTTTTCATTTATTGTTTTTTAATTTGCTAGGCAGCACGTAGGTCTTAATCTGATTATCTGCATGTTTTCTCAGGTCCTCATACGTCACCCAACAGTTAAACCTACTTAAAATCAATATTAAATGAAATGCTACTGCTACTAACAATTTATCATTTAACATATTGTATGTACCACAAATTAAGTTAAGTGAACTAAATAATTTTTGTTTAGTTCACTTGACTTAATAAAGTTTTCACAAAAACAAAATAGGGGATTAGTATAACTATACATCAAGTGACATCCCCATCCATCAAAAAATATATATAATAGCAAAAGATAATTGGTTGTATGTCTATTGTAGCCCCACTCCTCCTACAAACAAATTAATGTGAAACATATTAAGTATAATTGTCATTTTATATAAACCATAAAGATGAAAATGCAAACCTCAACACAAAAGTAATAAATATTGAACTGCAGAATTCTACTGCCACAGCCAATAACTCACGAGTGAATCAACCAATCTGCTGACTCTCATCACCTGATAGAACAGGAAGCTGAATCTCGAAGTGATTCTCATCCTCCTCTTTCTAAGATGAAAAATAGATGAAAATAATCTATATGTTAGAATAAAGTTATTTTAAATATAGAATTAAACAAAACATGTAAGCAATGGAACTTACTTTGCACCCTTTCTTCACTCCATTCAAAGTGCGACACCAGTCACATCCACATAACAACATCCCCACCGTAGCTGGTGACAAAGAAGCTCGGTAACTATCAATAACCCTGCTCCCAGCACTGAATACAAACTCTGAAGCAACCATAGTGATCGGGATGGCTAGTATCTCTCGAGCCATCCTAGACAATACAGGAAAATTGGTTGAATTTGCCTTCCACCACTGTAAGGCATCGAATGAGTCATGATCCCCCACACACTTATGGCATCCCTCTCCACAATAACAATCCAACTCAGACTGACTAGGCTCAACAGTTTCAACCACGTCCAGAAAAGTACTAAAATCATCCCAGGCCTTGGCTCCTTCAACCGCAGCCACCTCATCAATGGTTCCATGTCCATCCCCTTGTGAAGTAGAAGCACGGGCGATAGTCACACCTTGGTTAGCTTGAACATACTCCCCATATAACTCATACAATACATCCCGGACCGTCACCATATTTGCCCGTCCTTCTGTCCTTCTGCCTCAGAATACATCTTAGGGAATGCCCACTGAATAACCCTCATTTTCAACTGAGGATCCAATACAGCAGCCACAGACATCAACACATTACATTCCCCCCAATATTTATCAAACTTATGCTTCATTTTCCTAACTATTACTCTAATAAAATCATCTTCAGATTCACTTTTGCTATCCAACATACATTTCACTACACACACCTCCTTCAAGAATAAATTAGATGTCGGATAATCACTTCCTGAAATGAGTTTGGTTGAACCACTGAATACTTTCAAAACTTCACAAACTTTCTCCACTTTCTTCCAATCCTCGTCACTCAGGTTATTATGATAATTGATATCCCTCTCTTTCACTCTTGGAAAAACCTGTTTGAACTTAATTATCGTTGCCAACATTTCATAGGTAGAATTCCATCTTGTTTTACAATGAAGAATAAGCTTCCGATACGGCAATTTAAGTTGTTGAACAATCTCAGAAAATACCTTGAGTCTGCTTTCTAAACTGTTGATATACAACACACTCTCATAGATGTCGTCAATGATGTGCCTAATTTGATGAAGTCCATCTTGAACAATCAGGTTCAAGATGTGTGTGCAGCATCTCACGTGAAACAGTTTACCTCCACAAAGGAGTTTCCCCGAAACTTCAAAATTTTCCTTCAAAACCTTAATCGCAACATCATTACTTAAAGCATTATCCACAGAAATAGTATATACCTTATTTTCAATTCCCCATCCTATTAGGCACTTGAAAATGCCATCCGCAATCGCAATACCAGTCCGGGGAGGAGGTAGACGAACAAAGTTGAGGATACGTCTATTAAGCCTCCAAGTACTATCTATCCAATGCCCGGTCAACACCATATACTCCATCTTTTGATTCCCTAAATTCCATAAGTCTGTAGTCAAACTGGTTTTTGTCACAGTCTTCAACAAAGTCTTCAATTTGGTCTTCTCACTTTCATATACCTTCATACAATCTTTTTTACAAGTATAACGGGAAACCGGAGTCCATCCAGGAATCTCATACTTTATCATATTGTTCAAGCCCTCTTCCTCCACAACTGTAAATGGATGTTCATGCATAAGCACCCAATGGGCGATCAATTCCCTCATTTTCGACATGTCAAACTTCCCACTTAAAGCTGGCAAAATAGTAGTTGGAACATCATTACCGGCAGTCGAAAAAAACTAATATATGTTGCCTCGTGGAAGCTTTTCTCCAAACACGGCTTAAATGTCTATTGAACTGGGTGGTGCTTCGGTGGCATTAATACACAACTTGACTTTGCAATGGATACACTCAACCTTTGGTGCCATTAGGGAGTACCACCTCCTTGAACTCCGACCATGCCACTAAAGTCTTTGCTCTTTTTTGCTTCTAAATCAGATTTTGATTTTCATCACCATTAACCGGGCTACTAATACCAGGTGTATCGGTAATTGATCTTGTATTGCAAGGGTACAAGGAATTACCCTCCATTTACAAACCTATAAATCAAAAAAAAAAAAAAAAATCAACATTTAATGCAAAACCAATATGAAATAATGTCAAACTATTACATTGCACACACATCAACCAATACATTATACATGCACACCAATTAATTGTCACCAATACATCCCAACATTCATTTATTCTTTAATTAGAGATATTGGTTTTGTATCATGTTTGATTAAGTTTCAAATGTTATATTTTGAAATTTGTCTCATTTCATTTGCAACTCACATGTTCTATTGAATTCATTAAAGTTGCATATATAAACTTCATTTATGTAAATAAATTGGAAGGGTATAATGCTTTATTTCTTTAATGTCCAATCCATTCACTTCTTTTTCCAATCAGTGCAGAAAATTTGCTACCCCTTTTGGCTTTAACAAAATAAAGTTTGAATTTGATTGAGCAATGTGGCCGCACAGCACTTGTGTGCATGCATGAGAGATGAGAATCAGACTTCAGTATGGGGCCTTGGTCCTGGGCTAGTGTGCGCCATGCATATTGGGTTCATGTATTTTATAAAGCTTTGACAAGCTGGTAGGTATTGAAAAGGTTAAAATATAAGACAAGGTAACAAATAATATGGTCAAGCATTTCAGTAATACAAAAATGTTGGTATTTTTCCTGTATTTCCATTAATCAGAGAGGCTTGCATTTCCTTCTGTACGATCAAAATGAAAGATTATTAAGTATCCATGTGCTTGTTGATTATGACTAGGCTATTCTATTAATGTTTTATTTGGCCCAACACCCATTGTTATAAATAAACTTGTGGCTAAAGACACTAAGGACAATCATTGCACATGCTTATCAGACACTTAATTTTTATTCTTTGACTCAGATTTTCTCCATAGACAGAAGATAACTTTCTTTTTAGAGCTATAAAGAATGAGGTAGCCATGTGAGGGTTAGCACTGTTAATCTGTTTAACCCTATAATTAATTGGAATAAGGAACATTTCAGAGAGTTCAAATGAAAGAAACAAAGTTTACATTATTTGTGTAATATTCTATTTTCTATCCTTCATAAATGTCATCTTTAAGGCACTGACTCTTCTTTCTTTACCCCCACCAACAACCATTCCCGCAAGCCAGAAACAAATATTTAAATCCCCAGTCCACCACCAGATGCAGGACCACATTCCCACAACAAGCCACAAACATATTTATAAACCACCAGTCGGCCAGTCCCCCACACAAATCAAAACCCCATAACCAAATCTCACACAATTTATAAATAACAACCTGTGAACCATTAAAACTCCTTTGCAATTGAAATTTTGTCCAACACAACCACAATCACATTCACAAACAATTTCAATTTCAGTAAAACAATTTAAATAAACAATACACGACACTACTCTTTACAGATAGTACACAACATTAACCTTGTGTGGGTTTCACAGCAACACCACCACAGTCAACCACCAGTAAAGCAATTTCAGTCTGCTCTTCCTGAATTCTTTCACCGGAAAAAGCCCCCTGTTAAACAAACAAATTCATGAAAAAACAAGTTAAATCTGACAAAAATTGAAGAAACCCCAAACAAACAACCCTAACAAACGACAATAGCAGATGATGAAAATCCGATGAAGAAACCCCTACTCACTAATTAAAGTCGATGAAAATCCGACGAAGATGATGACGAACTGATGAAGAAACTTCAACTCTGACGAAGAGATTCAAATCTGATGAACCTCGTACGAAGAAGACGAAGTTCTGACAAAGATCCAATGACGATCAGAAGCGATGACGAAGATCCAACGGCCGACGACGATGCGAAGATCCAACGACCAACGACGATGATGAAGATCCAACGGCTGTCAACGGTCTAACGAAGATGAACTATATCCCACGAAGATCCCGCGAAGATGAAGAAGATCTGGCCGAAATCGTTACTTTGGGAGGATTGATTCAAATTTTACGGCCATGGTTCAACTGGTGAAGATTTTTTGCGATTGGGGATTTTAATAAAGGGGGCTATTTTGTTATTTTTTTAAACTTGTTTGCATTAGTTTCAATTAAATCAATGTTTACAAATTCACAAAAAACCTCCCGCTATTTCGAGCCAGGCACGGCTCGCGAGCCTGACGAGCCGAGCCTTGTATGGCTCGAACTCGCTCGTTTTGTCTCACGAGCCGAGTCGAGCCGGCTCTCGTAATAAGACGAACCGAGCCGTTAACGAGCGGCTCCAAGCGGCTCGGTCGGTTCGTTAACCAACCCTATATGAAGGATTTGGAGGTGAAGATGGCTTAAAACCTGACAATCTGGCCATTTGAAGCAAGGATTCCTTGTAGCATCTTCACAAAATTAAAAAATAGAAAAATTAATTAATTAACTTATAATCAAAAGGGTTTCTAGAGGTATTGTTGTTTGGGTCTTGAAACTCACATGCTATTATCCTGAAAAGGCACCTCTTGGTGGTGAGAGATTGTCCTTGTGCATATATTGACTAAAACCTCATCTCCTAATCAATGTGGGACTCTGGCACCAATAAAGGTGAACCCGATGTTTGAAATAGCTTAACAAAGGGGTAATCAACAATAATAATACACTCACAAACTTTTTATACAAATTTCTCTTACAAACTTCTGTGGCAAAAGATGATCGGGTGATTTTAATTTACATCAATCATCATTTGCCACATAAGTTTGTGAGAGAAAGTTTATATAAAAAGTTATGGGTGTAGTATTACTCGATATTCAACTATCTACATAGTTACACATACAACTTTTTCATACAACCTTGATATGACAACTTGTGATTGATTAGCTAGTAGTGAGTTCCATCTGTCCAAAGCAAATTAACATTCACGAGTTATCACTGCAAGATTGTATAAAAAACTGTATGAAAAAATTATAAACGTAATTTTATTTGTTCCTCTTTATAATAAAATTCATGAAAAGGAGGGGATTATTTGACATCTTGTCTATCGAAATTCTGAATACATGTTATAAATGCTTAAGAAAAAAACAAAAAAAAAAATGATTAGAAGACCTCATCTATAGACTATTATATAGAGGGGCGAATCCAGCCACTTTTCAAATTTTTTTTTTAAATGTTAATATGTATAATTTATATATTTTAGCCCACCCTAACAAAATATTAATGGACAAAGTATTAATGTATAATTAATTTTATTTGGCCCACTCAAACAGAAATTTTTGGATCCGTCATGTTATAATACCTGACAATAAAATAAAGAAAACCTAATTTATTAATTCTGTCTCTTTACCATTTAACCTTTAGGAAGTTTCCTCATTAAAACAAACTAAATTGGCTACGCAAGCCAATCGATCTCACTGAACGCCAGCCTTTGTAGCTAAACTACAAACCACACCCGTCTTCACTTTTCTTTCTTTCTTTCTTATCACCTCATCTCATATCGTCGTCATTCTCTACAGTGTTTCTTTATCTTGATCCACATGTCAAGCACATCTCAGTCTCTGCACCATCCTCTCCGAATCGAAACGCATAATCAAAGCACACTCACGTCACTTCCTGGCTCTCTCAGTCTCTTCTTCTCCCTTGTCTTTCCCATCGTCGTTTTCCCTACCCTCCAACAACTCCTTCTTCACTTAACTACAAACGACTCCAGAACTCTTCTTAGCACGCTTTTTATCGTTCCACCACCTACTCCAAATTTCGACAAACAAAGCCTTCTTCTCACTCTCTTCTTCTCGGTTTTACCTTTGTTTTATCTCTCTGCGCGCTGTTCTATCACCTACAGTATCTTCCACGGCTTCTATGGTAGACCCGTCAAGTTTATGTCGCTATTAAATCCATTTTTATTTCTTTTTTGCCTTTTTGCTACCACTATTCTTTGTCAAATAATCGTATCTGCGATTATTGCCTTTTTTGTGATTGTGGTGTTTTTGGTCGTTAAGTTTGTTGGTTTTCAGTGTGAGTACTCGTACTCTTCTCCCTTCTTTGTGGGTGTGTTTTGCTCCTCATTACTTTTTATTGTTGATTTTGGTTTATTTGCAAGTAAATGGGCTTTGGTGTCTGTGGTAGTGGTGGTGGAATCCAGTGGGGGTTTAAGCATTGAAGAGAAGTCAAATTGGTGAAAGGATATAGATTCGTGGCTTTGTCTTTGAGTTCATGTTTTGCATTTTTTGTTGGGATTTTAATTTGGAGCAGCTGGATTTAGTTTCTCGTTTTGGTGGTATCAGTAACGGGTGGAGTTGGGTCTTGAAACTGCATGGTGTTATCCTGAAAAGGCACCTCGTGGTGGGGGGATTGTCCTTTGTATATAAGTGATTGTCTCCGAATCAATGTGGGACATTGGCACCAACAAATATGAGCCCGGTGTTTGAAAAAACTGAACAAAGGGGTAATCAACAATATAATACACCCATCAACTTTTTATACAAATTTTCTATTACAAACTTATGTGGCAAAGATGATCAGGTGATTTTAAATTTAAATAAATTTTATCCAATCATCCTTTGCCACATAAGTTTGTGAGAGAAAGTTTGTATAAAAAAGTTGTGGGTGTAGTATATCTGGTATTCAACTATCTACGTAGTTATACATAACTTTTTTCGTACAACTCTGATATGACAACTTATGATTTGTCAGCTGGTAGTGAATCTCATATGTCCAAATAAAAATTAACCAATCATGAGGATCATGGCAAGATTGTATAAAAAAGTTATATGAAAAAATTATAAACTTAATTTTATTGTTCCTCTTTATTAATAAAATTCATGAAAAAGGAGGGATTATTTGACATCTTGTGTATCGAAATTCTGAATACATGTTATAAAATTCTTAGAAAATAAAATAAAATAGATTAGAAAGACCTCTATCTATAGACTTCTATAATAATACCCGACAAATAAAATAAAGAAAACCAATTTATTAATTTTGTCTAAGGTGGAATAAATGGGCCGGGTAGGTGGGTTAACCCTAACCCGGCCCGTATTAGAGAGGTCAACCCAGACACCAATAAGGCGGGCCGCTTGAACCCAAGCCGCATGCAACCCTCGGGGGCCGGGGTGATATATGGCAACCCGACGACCCGTGGGTTGCTATTTGTCTTTTTTGGAGAAAGGCCGTCAACCTGGTGGGTTGACCTGCAGGTTGGCCGAAAAATAATAAAAATAAAAAAAACAAAATTAATTTTTTTTTAGAATACCCCTTTTACCTTGAAATATAGCCGTTTGATAGCAGTTGGAGAGGTCTTTTTGGTCATTTTCTTTTCCATTTTTTCTATAAATGGCCCTAAACGCTCATATTTTCACATCCAAATTCTCTCATTCTCTCATTTTCTTAATCTCTAGTCTCTATTGAAACTCTCAATTATTCTCTTTGTTATCAATTTGCTCTTATTTTAATTTTTATTAGTTTTTACAATTTTCAATTACTATTTCCATATTTCAATTCTCCTTCTTTAATTTTTATTTCTTCTACATCAATTTTTTTTTAACTACAATGGATAGATATTTGTCTCCATCAATTTCAATGATAAAGGAAACTATTATCCTAGTCCTAGTCCCGCTGAATTTACTAACATAAATGCAGGAGATCAAATAGTCTCGCTTCCCAGTCTCAGAATCCGATACACCTAAAATATGCCCCCGATTCCTCCCCATGCTGCTACACCTACAGCTCCTGATGGTTCTAGAAGTCGTCCTCGTAATCGTCGTCCCATCCATCTTCATTTCAAGTTGAAGTGAGTCCATCAACTGCTGTCGAAACCGAAGACAAATACACATCAGACGTTTGGGTGCATTTCGACAAGTTTTACAAGACAGAAAATGGAGTTCAAGTCAAGAAAGCAAGATACAAATATTGTGAAAATATTTATAAAGCTGATTCAGGTAATAGTACTAATACTTTAAAAAGGCATGCTAATAAATATATTGCTCAACATAGAACTAGAGAAACCAATCAAACTCAAATAACTAATATGAGTACTACTTGATGTTATAATTCTGATGTATATAGGGAACAATTAGTTTTATATTTGCTGCAACTGATCAACCTATTAATATGGTTGAAGTAAATATTTTGAAAGATTTATTAAAAATTCATTTTTCCAGGATTTAAAAGTTATTCTAAAACTGCAACTAGAAATGATTTAATAAAATTGTTTGGGACAATGAAATTAGAATTAAAAAATAAAATAATAGTTGTCATGTTAGTGTGGCTCTAACTACCGATATTTAAAATAGTAGAGCTAAACAAGATTATATTTGTGTGATAGTCATTATTTTGATAACGAATGTAAATTAAATAAATCTTTATTAGGATTTAAATAATGAATGTGGATCATAGTGGTCAATAAATTTATAACAAAATTGTTAAGTTTTAGAAGATTATGATGTTGTTAATAAAGTGATAAGTTTAACTTTAGATATAAGCAAGTGTTAATACTACAGCTATAGATTTTTTTAGAAGTAATTATCATTTTTATAATAATTTGAAGTTTTCACCAACGTTGTGTATGTCACATTATTAATTTAATTGTGAAAAGTGGTATGAAAACAATAAAGAAAATATTGATAGAATTAGGGATTGTTTAGCTTGGATTATAGTAGTAATAAAAGAAAGCTAATTTTAAGATGCTTGTATAAAATAAAATGTCTCTAGAACTTTGATTAGACATGCATATTAGATGGAATAGTATTTATTTAATGCTTGATTCAGTTTACCTTATGTAAATTAATTGTTATTTTGTAGCAAATAATAGAGATCCTCTTTATTTGGTAGAAAATGATTGGCATATAGTTAAAATTTCATTATTTTTTTCTTAAAATTTTACCAATCACATTTACAACTTTTGGTGTGTATTACCTACTAGTTCATTGGTAATACATACAATTATAAAAATTCAGAGTTATTTAGAAAAAAAACAAAAACAATGAAATTTTAAAGGAACCAATAAAGGCAATGGAAATTTTTTTTTAAAAATATTGGAAACCCATTCTTTTTCTTTATTGTTTGGTGTTATATTGATCCTAGAATAAAGTTGCATGTTTAGAAAATAGTTTAGGCACATTATCTGAAAATTTACAAACGAAGCATATGCCAATAAACTATGAGAGGTAAGAAATTGTCGTGTAGAGGTATATTTCCAATTGAAAACAGGTATGGGAACCGCAAAGACGTGAAATGCCCAGGGAAGTTGCATCAGAAGAAACAGTGAAAGCTTCTACTCTTGGAGTGCATTAATAGGTCGAAGAGGCACGAACCCGAAGCACGTCTCTTCTTCAGAAGCAACACAACGTCAGAATATACTGTCTTCCATGCAGTCACAGAGTAATGATCTTCAACAATATTTGGGAACCCTCGAAATGTTACCAGCAAATCCACAACAAATAGCCAACTTTGATGTCTTAGATATGGAAAACAAGAAAATGTATTTTTCCGGTATTTCAAGACTTGCCTTGAATTTTTTCGTTGTTCTGTCTCAACTGTCTCATTCGAACAAACATTTAGTGCAAATGGAAGAATTTTAAATGAAATGAAGACTAAACTTTCACAAAAAATGATTGAGTCCTCACATGTCTTCGAGATTGGGAACAGGCGCGCCATCAAGATCAATACAAGGTTGTCAACAATACTTTAATAGAATATTTCAATTTTGTAATACAGATGATATGGATAAGAGAGGTCTAGTCAACCTCCAAATAATTGTTTTGTAAATGTAACTTGATAAATGAATAAATCCAATTTTCTTATATTACAATTTTATTGATTAAATTGAATTAATATTTGAAATGTTAAGTTGTACAAAAACATTAATTTAATCTAATTTAATTATTGATATTTGAAAAATTAACTAAAAACAATTACCAAAAGAAAATAAAAAAATTAAATTAAATTAAAAAACAAGGGTTACCCCGGCCAGCCCGCAACATAACCTGCCAGATTAGGGTGACGGCCTGGCCAACCAATTCCACAAAATGGCGGGCCGGGTCAGCTTGGCCTGCCAAAACTGCCAACCACCGCGGGCCGGACGGGTTGCTTTTCCACCCTAAAATTTTGTCTCTTTACCATTTAAACCCTTAGGAAGTTTCCTCAAACAAACAAAATGAGCTACGCAAGCCAATCGACTCACTGAACGCCATCCTTTGTAGTAAACTACAAACCATCACCCGTGTTCACTTTCTTTCTTTTTTCTTATATCCCATCCTATCGTCGTCGTGTTCTCTACAGTTTCTTATCTCTGATCCACCATGTCAACGCCACATCTCAGTCTCTGACATCCATCTCCCGAATCGAAACGCATAATCAAAGCACACTCACGTCACTTCCTGGCTCTCTCAGTCCTCTTTCTTCTCCCCTTGTCTTTCTCCATCGTCGTTCCCTACCCTCCAACAACTCCTTCTTCACTTAACTACAAACGACTCCAGAACTCTTCTTAGCCACGTTTTATCGTTCCAACCCTACTCCAAAGTTCGACAAACAAAGCCTTCTTCTCACTCTCTTCTTCTCGGTTTTTACCTTTGTTTATTTTCTCTCTGCGCTGCTGGTTCTATCCACCAAGTATCTTCCACGGCTTCTATGGTAGACCCGTCAAGTTTATGTCTGCTATTAAATCATTTTATTTCTTTTTTGCCTCTTTTTGCTACCACTATTCTTTGAAATAATGTATCTGCGATTATTGCCTTTTTTGTGATTGTGGTGTTTTGGTCGTTAAGTTCGTTAAGTTTGTTGGTTTTCAGTGTGAGTATTCGTAATCTTCTCCCTTCTTTGTAGGGTGTGTTTTGCTCCTCATTACTTTTTTATTGTTGATTTTGGTTTATTGCAAGTAAATTGGGCTTTGGTGTCTGTGGTAGTGGTGGTGGAATCCAGCTGGGGGTTTAAGCCATTGAAGAGAAGTACAAATTTGGTGAAAGGATATAGATTCGTTGGCTTTGTCTTTGAGTTCATGTTTTGCATTTTTTGTTGGGATTTTAATTTGGAGCAGCTTGGATTTAGTTTCTCGTTTTGGTGGTATCAGTAACGGGTGGAGTTGGGCATTTGTGTTACAAATAGTGATTGCTTCAACATTGCTGATGTTGTTGTTCCTTTACAACATTGCGGCGAATACAGTGTTGTATATGTATTGCAAAGCTATACATGGAGAACTTGCAATGGAGATTGCTGAGGAATTTTCCAAGGAATATGTGAGTTTGCCTTTTGATAATGGGAAAGTGCCTCATCTTGTTTCTGTTGCTTATAATGGATACTAGGTTCGCTGACATTTATTTTTTGTTTGTACTTTGTAGTTGGTAAGTCGTGTACTATCAAAGTAAAAGTATGTGAATATGTAAAAATGTGAGATGTGATCAATCTTTGAGTTTCTTGTGCTTCATTTTGGTCGGACCTGCTATTCTGATTAGGTTAATTCATAATAAACTTTCTATGTCAATGCCATGTACGTAGCTTGTCAGTGAAGATGGAACTATGTATATCTGCTCTAACACTGACTAATCTGGAAACTTTTGTATTTTCATAAATTCATTGAAGCAGAACTACATAAAACAGCATTTGCTTTACTCTTAATGATAGTCATGGAATCTATCCGCAAGAGATTATGCACATTTAAATTCTGCACCAACCATTTTTATCCAATCCACATAATATATGAACAGCAAACTGGAGATGAATGGATAGTTCAAATGGCATCATTGAGTTGCTTCTGCAACTTTTCGCTGCATTCGTTCAAATCTGAGTAGTGGCAGAAAATAACAAACTTCACAGAAACTCAATTTTTGTCAATCTTATTTCCAGACTACGATGGGTTACAGAAAGTGAAAGGAAACAATGCCAAATTTGCACACATCATGAGGGATACAGCATATAGCAACATGGGTTATCTGTCAGGTTTTTTTTTTTTTTTTTTTTTTTCAGAAATTCGAGAGGAATGCTTAGAAGTTCATTGAGAAGCTATCCAACAATATGAAGAATCCATTTCTTAACAACCCACAATGGGAGTACAATCGAGTATTATAAGCAAGCAACAGAGCAGTATAGTTGCCTTCTTTGTCAGTCCCAAAAGCAAAAGCCAAGAACGGGGAGGAAACAAAGTGTGTATCTCGGTGCTTTTCTTTACAGCCTTGGTCATGTCTTCAGCTTGATATAACCGATCTCCAATACTTCTAATTAATTCAGTTGGGCAATGCCGCGGATGATTAATTGGGTCATTGACGTACTTTAGCCCACAAATGAAAGAATGTTGAATTTTACAACTTCATGTAACTAAAATGAACCAATCTTCATTAATAGTTCCAGGGTCAAAGCTTTCTGTTGATACCGTGACTAGATGAAGATGGTGCTTTCAATTTTACAATGCTATCATCAACCCTCTCATCATGCTCAGTGCTAAAGAGAAGATTACTCCAGTTCGTTGATCTTTGGACAATTCTGGAAGGAACACGGTCACTATCTTCCCCGCCAGATGCTTCATACCCATCACTAGTAGACCTAGATAGAGGAAATCCCTTCTGTGCAGACATAACACCAGCAGATAGACCTGTCAGCCGCCTTGACTCTTCAGCTCCTGACGAGGAGACCCGGAATGGATGAATATCTGGAGAGTCTAAACTACTCTCAGGAGAAGAAGCAACAATACCAGCTGAGCTTGACATTGCTCGGCTTGTTTGGAAAGCACTCCTTGCTTCAAGCTGTAGAGGAGCTAAATTAGTTGAAGCCTCAGTGAAACCATTTTCAACAGCTTTAGCTGAAAGGCTTGAAACCACCGATAGGGGCTCCATGGGTAGGTCAGCTGGGAGGCGCACCCGCTTACTGGCTCTCCTTCTGTTGTCTGGCCTTGGGACCATTCGACGGCTACTGCTTCCGAAGCTGCTGCTTGTTTCTAGCCCAAAATGGGCTTCACGCCTCACCACAGGTTGCAGGATTTTGGACTTCTTTCTTGCCTCTGCGGCGGCCTTCGAAACCTCCTCTGCATTTAGCCGTGCCAATGTCCATGGACTAATCTTCACCGCTGGGTTCTTTTTCTTAATTGGTTCTTCTCCCACCATCTTTTTCCCTAATGAACTTACAGATGCAGTCTCTGGAGGTACAACATCAAACTGGAAGAAAGCAGAAATTGCAGTTGCATCAATAAAATTATAGCCCTCAACAACACCAACTCCAAAATAGTAGAATTGTACCAATTAAGTACATATAATCACATGAAAAAAGGGAATAAATTTTAAATTTGATTTCAATACAATTGAATGAGCTATTTTGTTTCTCATTGCTGATTAAGGAAAAAACAGTGAAAATATTAAGCTCATTTGAGAAACCCTCTCAAAATAGAGGACCCGCACTGTTGTTATAAGTGACCAATTCACTCATTTTAGCAATTGTTCACTTTACCAATTAGCGTAATGCATACATTTAAGTGGTACAGAATGAACTTCCAAATTTTACATATGACTTCAAAACAGAGTAGGTATTTGTAAGCATTTCACCTAGAAGATTTCGTTATTTACATCATACATTAGGTTAAAGCACTAAAACCAACAGGAACATTCACAAGCTGTTTATATATCATATAGAAATAATGAATGGATCAAAATTACCTGATCTTCAAGAAACATGCGAGGGGGTGTACACCATGCACCACGGTGGAATGTAGAGAAGGAGCTTGCACTGCTCAATCCAGTAAGGGAGCTAGCAATTGACATCTGGGGACTCTGCTGCCCTCCAACTCCTTGTTGCTCTTGTTCCTGCTCCCTTAGAGCTATTATATAATCATAGGTGCTAATCCCCTGTGAAACATACATATGGATCACATAATTAGCTCATTAACATTTCGACATGTCAAAATTGCAAAGAAACTGCACCAGAAGAAAAGAGCAGGTAAAAACTAAAAAACTACAAAAGGGACCACTACCTCAGAAAAAACAAAAAGAAAAAAGCACACAAACTATTACATATAGCCCGCAAACCTCAAAACAAAACCAGTACCCAAAGCAAAAACCCAAATTTGAAGCAATTTATATGTAAAGGCATTGAAATTAAATATAGTTTTATGGACTCAAATTCTGATATAGAAACATGATTCACTTAGTAAGGATTGAGAAATAAGAACGTTTACCTTTTTTATCAATAGGATGTGAAAGAAGAATAGTTGAGCAAGCGGTAACGTAGCAATCATTGCCAAAATCGTGCAGACTACCTGTAACAACGCATGAATTGATTTAGTTAATTTAGCATAATCAATTAAAGTAGTGCACTCAACTAAAAATGGATGCATCAGTTTTATCGATCTTATTGCTTAGTTTGAAGAAAAGCTGACAATATATGTAAGGATGAACTGCACTCAAGGTCCACTGAATTTATTTTAATAACAAAACCCATCAAAGGGGGAAACTCACCACCACAATAACAAAGGGAGCTAAAGAAAAACTGCTTCCTAACTTAGTGGAGATATCCACAGAGAAATGCTTCCGCTCAAGAAAACAGCAGATTAGTACCAGTATTCCAGTCGACCATTGTAGAATAAGCTGCAATCTCAAGCCCAAGTTGGACAAACCATGTATACCTGTCAATAATCAATTAAAATGAAGATGACTAAAAATAAAGGCTTACGCTGGTTTATCTTCAGGTTCTGGCATGTCGCTTGCAGGAACAATAGCAGAAAATAGGATTCAGGAAATTATTATGCCAGGAAAGGATAAAGAATATGGAATTTGGTTGGGAAGCTACCGATTTAAGAGTAATAGAAGAAATGATTACCCCAAAATCATGCAAGAATCAACTATAAGGGATAAGAAGTTATATGATGTTGACAGGAGACATTTGAAAGACCATGTGAATATCACAAAGATTTCAGTGGATATCATGAACTATGAAACAGGCATTAAAACCTTGTCAAAAACCCTGGCTAAAAATGGTGATGGAAAAATCAGATTTTTTTCCAAACAATGACGCATATAGTGACACAAGAACAGGATGGAATGGATTAGGCCATGGAGGATTTTTATATAAAATTTTAGGAGACAATGACCGGTTGATAAATGGTTTGACTAGGGAAAATTTGAAGCAAAGCAGAAGATGGAGACTTGTTCTTACCAAGAGAAGAGAAGAAACCATTAGGGTGAAAAACTGTCGATAATTTCTTTTGCCTATACAATTGTTAAGCCACTGCAAAAACCAAAGACAAAAAGGACATTAAAACCTGATCAAGGAAACTAAATAAATCCACAAAAAGGAAAAAAAAATCCTATATACCCTGCAGTGATGATCAAAACGGTCTACACATTTATCACAAACTCTACAGTGCTTGCTGTACTTGAATACCTGCCAATATCAATAATGATGATTAAATAAGCTATACCATATAAGCATGTTCTGCTATAAAGTAGTAACCCTATCATGCATAAATTGATAACAAGAAACATGTCCTTAGCATGCCTGACTTCTGCAACTATGCCTTTCTTCAAACTACAGAACACATATAAGAATTATGAACCACTTGACAAAAGGTGCAATCCATTTTAACTGTTTTCACATACCTCAACTTCACACAAGCTGCAATAAAACATGCCATCTTCGCTAATTTGCTGCTCAGAAGATTCACCACTTGAACCAGAGCAGTTGCAGATAAAAGCACAAGGTGTGAGAGCATATAAGAGACAAGATGAATGATCTGACGATTCATTTATCTTCTCAATTTCCGAATTGTGGTCTTTAGAAGTTGCATCTGCACATGTCTCATCCTTTTCCAGAGGTTTTCCGCCAACTGTAGCAGCATTTGCATCATTTATAGAAGAAGTAGATTCACCACCCAGTTTAGAATCCTTTAGTCGGGCAGACTTTACACTTTCTGGAATTTTGAGATATTTTTTGGACTTAAAAACTCCTGGATCGGCAGGATCAGCAGCTGCACACCAAATATATAGGCCGAAGACACAAGTAATCTAAATAGAAAAGAGATAATCAGTGAAACTTTCTAGCAGGAAAGGTCGTCCCACTAATAAAGTTGAACACAGAGAAAATTGCATGCATATTACCTAATTATCAAATTAGAGAACTATATATTAGAACCACTTTTGAAAACGTATAACAGCTTATATCATACAATGAGGGGTCCAATTTGAGATGGTTTATGAGCTATAGTGAAAACAATTCTATCTTATATTAACGGCCCTCCGATTATTTAAGATTCCAACTATTGAAGAATAAGACTTGTCATAGATTCCAACAATGGTACAATACAAGGTTCAACATCTTCTTCTGGATTGCCAAGAACATGAAAGAAGGAAACCATGAGTCAAACAATATGTTTAGTTAACCACAAATTCCGTAATGGTCCCAGAATATAATTTAGCAATGAAGGCTTCTGTTAAATCTTAATAGGAAGAACTTATTTTTTTCTACTACAGAATAATTTCAGTTACAACTAAAGAAACAAATTTAAAAGACATGGAGTTTCCCAGCATCTAGAGACATAAAAGTAGGATTTCACAATCAGAGGAAAAGCAAATGGCATGCTTTTGCCCAAACCAGTGACAAAATCCAGATTTACGAACAGATCGAATTTGAAATTCAAATAGTATAGAATCAGAGCCTCCCAATAGGTTCAATAGCTAAAAGACAAGCACCCCGGTTAAATTATCAGCAAAATTGACAGGTTAGTGGCATGCTTCAAAGGATCTATAGATAAAATTGCCAAATGACAAACATAAACCAGAAAGGGAAAGCAACCAAGTTTGAGAAAAATTAAATACATCCACAAAATTAAAACCAAACACAAGTAATTAAAAACCAACATGCAGAGAAAGCACAGATCTCAGTTCTTCAACCCTCTGAAAGATTAAACATATGCACAAAATAGATGTGAAATGACTTACAAGAGGAGTATAGATTCCCATTATAATAAGCTGAAAAATCCTCTTCCCAACAAAAGGAGCAAAGAAAACATAGAAAGCAAACCCCAAAGCCAGAAATACAGCAACAGCGACCACCTTCACAGACACAAAATAACCCATCAAAATCCAAACTTTAACTAATGTAAAAGCTTAGAACTAACAAGTAACAAAGAATAATAGCAAAAAAAAGTTACCTGAAGAGGGTGGTAAGGAAGTTGCCACCCATTTTTCCTCATTTTTGCTTAAAGGTTGCACCTTGCAACCCAGAACAAGAAAATGCCGAAGAACAACAAAGAAATAGAATGACTTGGGTTTTAACTGAAACTTGTTTGTTTACTCTCCCATATATTTTCTTTCACTTCCCTTCATTTTCCGGCAAAGAATGAAGATCACTCATTTCACTATGCTACCAACCAAGCAAAATCTTTCAAAGACCCTTTTTTCACGGGTCTATCCTATTCAAAGAACAGAGAAAAAAAGAAAATGAGAGATAAAATGAAACAAAGAAGATAAGAGAAATGAGACAGTAAGGAAAGCTTTGTCTGTTTCACCAAATCAAACCCTCGGAAGTTTGAGAGATTAGAAAAAATAAAAATAAAAATAAAGAGAAATGTGTACTAATAATCTGGTTTTGGGTTTTTCTTTGTTTCTTTTCCGGCTTTTTGCTTGTGCAAGGATCTGTGTTTTGTGTGACTGTCAGAGAGAGTAGACCATTTTTATCTTTTCTTTTCATGCCTATAATTACCTCGCAACCCAACTCAGCTTTTACTTTTTTCTTGTTTCTAGCGTTACCTTTTTCTCTGGGGCAAATCACACCTCATAGTGACAGACCAATCTAACCAACACAGTCGTTTGCTTCCACTTTTCTTATTGCCATTTGACACTACCAACCAGCCTTCTTTAAGCCCTTCTTAAATGCTTACAACTTGTATACTCAATGAAATACATTTTATTCCTTTAACATTTAATACAAATTTTATAAGGTTAACTTACCAATAACAAGCAACATAACCCATTTTTTAAACACACTTTTACTTCATCTTAATTGCGGATTATGTTGTGGATATGAGAGAAATAAGAATAATAATAATAATAATGAGAGAAGATGACCCACCCAAGGTGGATCTTGTTTTACAGTAATACTATACTATTTTTTCATGGAAAGAAATGGAACAGTAAGGAACAAATGGAGAGAACCCCACTTTCTTTAATGACATTTTCTACTTTAAAGCTTCTGTTTCCATCATTACCAGAAGGGCATGCTTTTTAGCTGAAATGAAATGAAATCAAAATCCCCCACCTTGATACTACTATTGGACAAATACCTACTGATATTAAATGTTTTTTGTTTTCAAGTAAAAGAGGAGTAGTTGATGGCTAGTAGAAATTGAAATTGGAGCTAGAAACCAAGCCATGTGATGAGGATCTATATATGCCTAACTGCCCTTTAACATTCCGCTGTCTATATCAGTTTTATTTCAAATAAATGTTAGAATCATTAGGAATTGTTTATTGATAAAGATTGAATATTTTGCATGAGAAGTTGGCAGAAAGCCATTGTTTTGGTGGTGAAAGTGAATGTTAGCTCTAACTAATTGGACTTTACTGCACTTGAAAATGTATAAAACTACAAGGGAGTTTCAAAATCATGGTGAGTACAAGTCAAAAAGGCTATATATATAATGACAGAATAAAGAAAAAAGTAATGCAAATTTATGTCAGTCTGAACCACTTGGTCCAAAATAAAACCAGCAAGGTGAGAAATAAAAATAGAGATGGTCAAACAATGCATGCTTTTATAAATTGAAATTAGTTAGTGGGGTGTATAAAACTAAGTTGATAGTGTAAATGAAGGGGAATGGCAAAGGGGAAGGAAGGTGACACTACATTACAGAGAAGAGTGAAGGGTATATATCAAATCAAATGGAGGAGGGATGGTTTTGCTTGGGGAAGAGGTATTGGCATTTTGTTGTCAGATATTCGTCCAGACGACTGACGAGATGACCTATCAGAAGTAGTACAAAGCAAACACCTCTTTAAAAGAGAGATAATTGTCATTTTATGTAGGCGTAGAGCTAGCTTTTGTTTTTACAATTGCCGATGCATGCACATGCACCTATATAAGTTACAACCACATACAGTATTTTACTGCTCCACTGTTTACATTTTCACACTTAAATTAAACATGATTATTAAATTGAAAAATCCATATTTTTTTTTTTTTATAATCGAATATTCGAATTAAGTTATATACATCTTAACTAATTTTTAAAATCTATTAAACATTTCAATAAATTCAAAATAACAAATAAGTCTCAATATTATTATGATAATGATCTTAAAGTTTTAAACCCAATAACTTAAAGGAATGAACAAATATTTTAACCGTCAAACTAACCCTTTGAGATTTTAATATTGATATATAAAAGTGTTTAAATCAGTTTGTATTTTAATTATTCTCTCAAAACTATAATTTAATAATTAGAATAAATCTTTAGTAACTACTCCTTACTAATAATGAATTAAATTGAGAAACTCTTAAATAACACGTAAAAAATCTTAAACAAACGCTGCACACTATCCCGGTTAGTTGAAACCCCGTATGTTTTTGTTATCTCAAAATTAAAACAAAATAAGGGGGGCGTGTAGGGTAAAGCGAAGAAATGAGAGTGAGAGAGTTAGTTAGAATATAATAAATTAAAAAAAAAAAAAAAAAACTGACAAACATGACTGCACTGCATTAATTCCTTGCATCTGTTTCTCTCTTTTATTAAAACCCTCCTTCTCTCTTCACGTTTTCAAATACCCCACCACCTCTCACGTTCCCCGCCGGCCCCCACCTATATTTACTGCTTCTCCTCCTACAATTACAAACCCTTTCTCTCCCTCTTGTTAACGCCCCCTCACTGTCTCACCTCCAAATTTACTGCATTTCCCATTTCACTTTCTTCTTTACAAAAAACTCTGACATATAGCTTTTGTTAATTATCTTCATATCATATTCATGACATGTCTATTTCTTCTAAGTTATTGATTAATAAAGCAAGATAGTTTTTTCACTTTCTCTGCTAAAAGGGACCATCCCACTTCTGCATTTGGAACATTTGGACAATTTTTTTTTTTTTTTATGCAAAGCAAATAATACAACTCATAAGTTGCTGACGAGTAAACAGGAAGCATTTTTATTCTTTGAATTAGATTTTTGTCTAAATAAATTTATTATTGATGGACCGACTTTGTGTTCTTGTTCATATTCAATATTGATATGCAAATTATCAACTGTTCTTTGAGTATGTTTTAAGTTGCCAGTGTTAGTGGTTAGTGGAGTTAGGTTTCATAAATTTTTGTTTTAAATGAATTGAATTCGAAAAATACGTCAATATAAAATCACGAAAATTTTATTATTATTATAACATTTAAGTAATAAATAAATAAGCAACAGAATCTGAAGTTATCACAGCTTAAAAAATAATGTTTACTCTTCTCAAGAGATAAAAGAGAATATGTTTGATGCCGATATGGAAACAAACAGAAGAAACGAACAAACAATAAATAATTATGCAAGTATTGCATTGATTACTGAGTTCATTGCCTGCTTCACTAATCCTTAAATATTTTTTTTTTATTTTTTTTTTAATGACAGAGGTGTTTGGATCATCAAGTTGGTATCTTAATTTATTTTTAGAGTCTATTAAATATTCTACAAGTCCAATATTTCCATGTAAATCACAAATATGAAAGGTTACTCTAAAGTGGTTTAAACTTAAGAAGTCAACGAAAGAAACAAATCTTTTAACTGTAACTTCAAGGGATTAGTCTGACGGTCAAGAAGATTTGCTTCTTTTCTTAAATTTCTGGGTTCAAACTTTAGGGTCATCTATCACAATAATATTATGGTTTACTTAATTTTTTGGGCTTATACGGTGTTTAATAGATCCTAGATATTAGTTTAGGTGCACGCAAATTGACCTGAACACCTTAATCACAAAAAAAAAATAAAAAAATTCTTGACCGTCGGGCAACCCTTAGGGTTCTAATCCTTAAATTTTATCAACTCTCTACTACTTAAAAAATCAATCTGTTTAAACAACCACATTATGCTCCAATTTAACGTTGTGCCTACCATCAATTCTATTTCAAAATTAATTCCTTGCTGTGGATTTGACCCCGTGAATATCATCATCTCTTTTTTCTTCTGATTTCTGCTTCTTTTCGAGCATGTGATTGATGGTTGTTACCTGTTTCTTTTATCTTTCCAATTTACACGTCGACCTTAAGAAAAATGGAAGAAAAAATGTTCTGGTAATTGACACTTCAATTTACAAGAGTGGACCCAAAAATTGTACAATTAAAGGGGGAGGCATTAAGGCAAAAGTGATGGGATAAAAAGTATCATATAATTAACCAAAGCTACTTTGCTTCATTTGACAGCAAAGGAATTTAAATTAAATACACCAAGAACTTCTGGCTGACAAATATATTTTTCTGCTTTTGATTTGTTGTTTTCCACAACATATATACTTCCAAACTTATCTTCAAAAATGGGCAAAAAATATTTCCAATTTCTCCATTACTTTGATGTGAAATTAAAAGTAAGATACCAACTTTTATGTTAATTTCCCTTAATTTTCCTATTTTATTAGATGGATTGGCCAAAAGAAGAAGACAGGATGAAGTCAGAAAAGAAGTCTTTTTTTTTCTTCTTGTTGCCCAACCATTAATTGATAAGAGAAATCGACAAAACCTACACTGTAACTTTAAAGTCTAATTAACAACTGTATGACAAAGAAGTGAGATGATTTCATTAAGAAAATGTAGTGGGCTAATCATTCAGTGTGTGGCCAATGGCAAGACTGTAGGGTAAGTTATTCAGAATCTTGTGTTCGAATTCTATAAAGTGATCACCTATCATATTTGTGACTTATTTGACCCATTGAGTTTGGAAGGTGTTCAATAGACCACTTAGCTCATTAGGCTTGTAACAAGCTAGTTCGGACACTTCGATTGTTAAAAAAAAAGCTTACGTTGTATTGGTTTTTGTTGTTATTGTACATGTAAAATACGTGAGTAGTGTTGTTTAAAAATTGATGATTAAATTCAACACTTGATGTTGATGAAAAGTGGGCGTGTTGTTGATGATGGGTGTTGTTAATAATGTAACTTTGGACAAAAATGTTTTGCATTTTAATTATGTTGAGTCTCCAAGTGCTTTGCTTCATCATCATGTTCATGCCCACCTCTTTTTACTCTTAAAATTATTCTCTTCATTTCGGAAATGTATAGTCTCTTAACAGAAAGAGTAATGCTAGCTTTACTCACTTCTCTTACTCACCTTTGTTAAACACGATGGAGAAGTGAATAAGGTTACCACCGTATTTAATAAAAGTGAGTAAGAGAAGTGAGTAGGAGGAGTGAGTAAGGCTAGCATTACTCTAACATAAATCTCATGATTCAATACACTGTTATCTTATGCCCATTCTAACTTGCCATTACCTTCTTGGTACCAACACTTTTGGGTATTCCCCATATCCAATAGTTCATTGTCTCTGCATGGGCTAGATTGGGCTTGTCTTCAAGATGACTTGTTTTGGAATTGAGATAGTTGGGTTTCATCCAACTATCCTAGTAATTCACAGTCCACAGTCAAGGGAAGACCTCTGAAATTCAGGTACAGATCCCAATAAATCTCACCATAAATTTTAAGAACATGGGGATTTAAATGCATGCCATCGATGAGGGTGTCAATGCCTCTTTAAAAAATTTAGTCTTTTCAACTAGTTTCCCTCCAACCATTCGCCAATGGTTGACCATACACATCCTCCAACTCAGTGTACTCTCCGGGTTATTAATCATCTGGGATCTTGTGTTGTGGTTTCGGATTTCCATTATTGACTTAACTTGTTAATTATTCATCTTTATCCGATTCCGATTCCGATGTTGCTAATGGCATTTAATGCTCAAATTCATTAACTCTCTGTATCATAAATAAAAATCCACTTGGGTTGTAGAAGGAGTTGAGTTTTGGAGAGCTTGGAAAAAGGTCAAGGAGTTGAAGTGTCGATGTTGATGAATTAATTCAAACCACAATGATTTGGGTTTTTTTTTTATTTTATTTCTGGGGGGTCATAATTTGGTTGGTGATTGTGAATATTATATGTCATTAAAGAATTAATGGGCTCTTAAATATGCTTCCACTTGCCCCAAACAACACTTACAAAGAATTGGTCTCTACCTCTAAGCTTTTGCATGATAAAGCATATATTGCTATTTTTAATTTGTTTGGATGATTTTTGTTGTAGTAGTTTGATATTCTTTGTTCCCTTTGAGCTATAACCTGGACAAAAATTATCAAATTTTAATCACCGAAAGTGTCTGAATCATTTTTCTCTTATCTCAATTAATCCTTCTTATCACTGTAATTATCTATTGGATAGTCTTTTTGTCCACTTCTATTAGTATCTGAAGGGACTCGAACTCAAGAAATTATGAAACTTTCTTTTACTCTTTTACTATAGTGCACCTGATGGTAGTTCCATTTTTCTCATAGCCTTGACCTATCTATTTAACCACTAATTATGAATTCTCAAAATCTAAAGTGAAAATTTGAACTTGAATTAATTAGTTTTAAAGGAAAGTCGTTACCTCATTTTCTAAACCTTCAAGTCTTTGAATCCAATTAAGTCTTTGATTTGAAAATTTCCAAAATAAGTTGGTGGGCCTTTTGAGATAACATGCGACCATTGACTAATATTTTAGTTAATTAATTATCTTTACGGCCAATTAGGCAACTACTTCAACACGGTGAAGGTGAAGGTGAAGGTGGAGGCTCCGCCACCCCACTTGGGGTCCAAAGTCCAATCCATTAGTTTAATAATTTTATGCTTAATCAACAATCATGGACAAAATCTCGTAATCATTGTGTTTTAATATGATTGCCTCCTTCATCATCCCAATTATCTCTCTTCTCCATTTCTTATTTATAAGAGTAAACGACTTTTTCCCACCAAGCTTTGCTTTAATAACACTTTTTCATCTAAAAAATCTTAAAATACCATTTTTTTTATCTCACATTTATATTTCGTTAATACCTAAAATATATTTTACTTTTTCAGTTGACATTCGGTGAATTATTGAGAGCCAGATAAGAGGATTTTTATAGATTATAGGACTGTGAATCGAATGATGATAACCGATAGAATATTTGCCATCAGAATCAATCAAAAAAATCAGTTAGGAATATGAAACTCTAGCTTTATAGTGGTTAGCAGTCGGCAAAAAATCAAGTGTCGGAATAAGATGTGTTTAGTAGAGAGGAAACCGGAGGTTCAAATGGTGGTGATGAATATAACTTTTGTTGTCGTAATAGATCGGAATCGGCTTTAGACAGTAATGAAATATTAACTTCGGGCGAGAAAGTAGTATTTTAGAATTTTTTGGGTGAGAAAGTGTGATTAAGGCAAACCTTGGCTGGGAAAAAGTCGTTTACTCTTATTTATAAATAATAAACCATGCTTATCTAGCTTTCTTTCTTTTTTTATTAAGCATTAAATGTGGTATTTAATGGCGCCCAGTATATTGTAAGAAGCTAATTAATCCCTGTCTTCTATAGCTTGAATTTTTAATTTAAAAAAAAAAAAAAAGTGGAATTCATATAATTCTTATGGAGAATCAACAACCAAATACTGTATAATTAAACCAAACCAAACATGAATGTCTGAGTTCGAGGAGCATCCATCAGAACCAAATATATTTATGTTCTTAATAATAATTTCAAATTGATTTGAGAAACAGGAAGCACAAATTCAATGTCTCAATCATGTTAGACTGGCAAGTATATACAAAATTTCAGTAGCTACAGGCGTCCCCGCCCGTGCGTAGCTGGTGTATCACATTAACTCCAGGGGAGACGAGACATAATGAGACTGACTGGATATTAAATAATGTCATTAAGTTTAATCCATCATTATTGTTATTGTTAATATGGTATTTTTTGGGTACACGTGGGAGGGAGGGACGACAAAGCGAAGTAGGCGGAGGAGGGTCTGTGATAAAGTGATGCCCGCGAAATATAGGGCGATAAAACATGAAAAACAAGGCAACGAAATCAAATATTGATGGTTGTATTTGTATACTATAAACCAAAACTGTTGAGATTCTCTTGCTGATTTCTCTTCCTTTATATCTTTTCTCTACTGTTTTTTTAGTTTTCGTTTCGAAATAAAAAAAAATCCGACTCACAGAGCCACTACTCCCGTCAGAGGAATCAGAGTTCCTTTATAGGAACAAAGATTCCTCTTTCATGTTCAAGTTCTTTTCTTTTCACCTTAAGGTTCGTTTCCATTGCATTTAATCTTCTCTTTCTCTTGTATGCATTTCATTATTGTTTTGGATTACAAGGTGGGACAACTGTAAAAGTTTGGATACAGGACTTATATAAGTCAAAGTAAAGTTTTTGTTTTGTTTTTTCTTGTATACAAAGTTTTACTTCTTTTCCATTTTATGTAATATTCCAATATAATGTTGCTCTAGTTGATGGATAGTTATGTATATTTTGTCTCTCACATGTCTTGCGTGTAGTCTTTTTTTAATGTATATTATTTACATTGCTGCAACTACTTTCTGTGTGCTTTCAGCTGATAGAGACAATTTTCTGCATATTTCGTTAATGTCCACAATGTTTTCAAATTCGTGGATCTGTTTGTCTTTATCATCTTATATGATAAGGACTTATGCTATTCTTTTCTTTTATTTGACAATGAGGTATTTGTTAATCTCTTTTCTCTCTTTCTGTAACATTACTTTATTTGCTCTTAATTGGCTAATAACGTTATTCAGAGAAAAGGGGATCTTTTCTTTAAGCATAAGTACTTCATTTTCTTCCTGATTTTGGTTAGGTGGGTAGTTTGATTAAGGCTTTCATGGCAATTTTCTGAAATAGTCGTGTTGTCCAAGTCTTCTGTTTTCTATGATTAAAACTTGTGGAATTCTTCAAGTACCTAATAATTGATGTTTGATCTTTTTATTTTTATTTTTTTATTTCAGATTTCTTCAGAGATAGAGTTTGATTGTATAACTGCGGGTGACATCTCAATGTAATATACCATCTTAGAGACTTTGGATTTTGTATTTAGACAGAGCCTTTATTTGCATCCAGAAGCAAGGAGCAATCACACAAAAGCATTGATGATATGGAGGCCGCTAAAGGCAAGTATTCTGTTTTAGTATTCAATGATATATCAGTGAGTTATTCAACATAACTTTTTTATCTTATTCCATATATGTAAATTTCCCATTACTTAAAGTGACTTTGGGCTTTGTTATTGATTTGGGCATCATTCTCCTTTGCTTCGTGATTAATCAAATATACCCTTTTAAAGACTAATATCTTTATAACTATATTTTTGTTAGCTTTACATGCATATTTCTATAATTGATTTTGGTTCTATTCTGCTCCTGCTTCCAGTTTTTACTACATTATTTTCTTTTGTCAAAACAATTATCTGTTAAAAGTATTTGGCATGAAGAAATTTACTTGAATTGGAATGTGGAAATCCCTTCGTTTCTTTTATTTAATTTAACAGAAAATGTATGTGATACATGGCAGGCTCTTTCTCTTCCTTTCTGTTTGTATACTCTTTCAGTGAGGTTGGTATTTTATGAAGTTGCCCATTACACTGAGGGGGCTTTGTAAAAGTTTGCTGTCATAATGGGCGGTTGTGTATCAAGACATGGCGGCAAACATAGAGTAAACAGGAAATACTTTCGCAAATATGGGAAACGCCTTGGAAAGATTTCCGCTTCGATTCACAGTATGCCCGTTAAACGGATTAGTGATGCTGGAATAAAAGGTTTTTCTATTAGCAAATTTGTTCACCTCAACTTTGAGAAGAGTGGTGCAAACAGCCACAAGATAGCTGAGATGACTAATAAGTCATTTCATGTCACCCAGATGCAATGGAACCACAGCCAAATTGATGCAACTGGTACATTAATTCTTTCTCCTGTTATTGCTACAGAAATCTTTAGTAAATCACCTGAAACTTGAAAGAGAGAAAAAGAAATGTAAACTATACTTAGATTCTGTCCATCTAAAGAAGTTCTTATGGTGTCAAACTTGTTAGATATGTCATTTATCTTTATGGTGTCAAACTTGTTAGATATGTCATTTATCTTCCTGCTGGGGTGGAATGAGGACATTTGAAACAATTTTCTCAGCATGAAAATTCAATAATTTGCAGGAATATGCCAAGAAGAAGCATGGTTTGACTCTGTTAGTATTATAGACTCTGATTCAGATGATGACTTCAGTAGTGTTCTTGGAGGTAATTACTTGCATCTCATCATAGAAAAGTGTGAATTTTTGCTTGGTAGCCTATGCAAATACTTCTTTTCTCCCTGCCAGATACATTTCCTTCAGTGGGTAACACAATTGGGCATATTTCAAATGCTCAACTGCTTCAATATGAAACTGCATCGCGTTTTGTAGATTCGGGATCTAAGTTTGAGGAGTTTTATGAAAGTTACCTTAAAACAGATGGAAGTAAACCAGATAAATGCTTAAACAAAGATGAAAGCAAAGGCATGCATGACTCTGGAGAGAAAAATCATGAAAATATAATGAAATCAACTGTTATCATGCTTTCTGTAAAGAGGAAATCCTATGATAGAGAAGAACCAACTCAATTTTGTAAGTAGAAATTGTGGTTGCCTTTGTTTAGTTCTTATCTGTATATAATTTTGAAATATGTTCACTTGTTTTCACTGAAAGTACAAGCATATGATCAGGTCAAGCTGAAAGATATCTATATCGTCCCAGAGCAGGATTTCTGATTCCATGTACAACAGTAGAGAAGTCAGATTCAGGATGCTGGTCTGAGGTTTCACCTTGTGTTTTTAAACTCCGTGGTGAGAATTATTTGAGGTATGAATTTGATTTCTCTTTTCCACCACATACCATATTGTGAATGCGTAACTTTAATTCTTTTCTTTCATTTTGGCTAACTTAACATAAAAAAAATCATTATACAGAGATAAACAGAAGCATCCTGCTCCAAACTACAATGCATACATACCAATTGGTGTTGATTTGTTTTCCTGCCCACGGAAGATTGATCACATTGCGCAACACCTCGAACTTCCTCTTGTAAAAACACATGAGAAAGTACCCTCACTCCTTATTGTTAACATACAGGTTTGATCTCTTACTGTTCTCATGGTTTTGATTCTCGGATACTGTTGGAGGTTGAACAATTAGGACATGGTTCAAGTCACTGTTTTACCCTCCATTCATATAATGCTTGGAATTAATTTGCCGTTGTTCTTGTGGCAGCTTCCTACTTATCCTGTCACTATGTTCCTTGGTGAAAGTGATGGGGAAGGCATGAGCCTTGTGTTATACTTCAAACTATCAGAGAATTTTGACCGAGAGATATCTGTTTATTTTCAGGACTCCATCAAGGTATTTTGTTGATAATTCTTTCTTCTCTCGGAATCAAAGTTTTAAGCATGAAAACTGTTTTAAGTTAAGAGTGAAAAATTCTGTAGTGCCCGGTAAGTGGGATTAGCTTGCTCATTTCAGGGGAAAAGGTTTTATGAGACATTCTTAAGGGAAGACATTAATTTTTTCCTATGTTGGTTTCTTGAGTAGAGATTGGTTGAGGATGAGATGGAAAAGGTTAAAGGATTCGCAAAGGAGTCCATAGTTCCATACAGAGAAAGGTTAAAAATTTTGGTCGGTCTGGTCAATCCAGAGGACCTTCCGTTGTCTTCCACAGAAAAAAAGCTTATACAAGCTTACAATAATAAGCCGGTACTTGCACGCCCTCAACACAATTTCTTTAAGGTAAAAAGAAGATCTTGATTCAAGTTTTCATGTATTATTAAAGATAAATAGATTTTGATTCTTAGAGATTGAACAAGTTTGGCCATTTATAAGCGTTCAACCATGTTCATGAAGAAGGGTGGTGCTATCACCAGTGACTATAGTGTCTCAAGCAGGACTAATTATTACCAGTCTAAAAGTATACTATAATTTTAGCACCAATGGAGTAACATCAGAATTCTTTTTGTTTTCCAGGGAACCAATTACTTTGAGATTGACCTGGATATACACCGATTCAGCTACATATCTAGGAAAGGTTTTGAATCATTCCGAGATCGTTTGAATCAAGGGAAACTTGATTTGGGTTTAACTATTCAGGTGTGGATACTTTGTTTACACTACAGAATTTCCTGAAAGTTGACTGCTAAAGTAACTTTGGTTTTTGTTGGATGTTGTTTACAGGCACAAAAGCCAGAGGAACTGCCAGAACAAGTGTTGTGCTGTGTGCAATTAAACAACATTGATTTTATAAATCATGGCCAAATACCAACGCTTGTAACTCAAGGTTGATTGATTTAACGATGCACAGCTGGAGAGATGTAATTTAGAGACAAAAATCACCATGTTCATCAGATGTATACAATTGAAATATCAATGAAAAGGAAATTCTTTTTTTTCTTTTAATCCCAGCTTGAATTGTTCCAAACTCTTGTTCCTTTTAATCTTATACACATCATTAATCATTTTTCATTAGAAGCAAGATTTGAAGATTAGTTATGAGAACAATGACTGGTTCAGCCCAGAGATTCTAGAGATAGATCAATTTTGGTTCAATGTCAGATTGCATTCTCTGTATGAGGAGCTAAACCATCCAATTTCAGTTTGCAAATATTTGAATTTCATCAACTCAGTTTGAGGGGCACAACACAGGAGTAAAGTATAATTTAGCACAATACTTTCTACAGTTTCTCCAATGAACAACCACAACACTTATAAATCAAATACAGCCACATAAAGAGGCAACTTTATACAGAAAGTTATAATTTAAGAATAAAAAATCTCTGGTCAATCAAAGATTGAGCCCCAAGTACAACATTTGTAAACATATGAAACAACAATACTTATGCAATTTCATGTACAAAAGAATGCACAGAACCAAATTTCAATACAATATACCGACTAAACTAGTCTACATATTTTATAGTATTGCCTTCTAACTCGTACGATTGATTTCTTATGGAGTTGATATCTGTCTTTCATTTTAGACCTCTTTCTTTTCTATATTAGCTTTGAGAAGATGACCATGAAGAAAACAACGGCCATGAGTTTGAGAAACAGATAACTTACAGTTTTGGCCTAATCCATTGCAGCTTTCATTTTCAACTTATCCTCTGGCATCTTTGCACGATTGCAACTCTGAGAAACTATGTCAAATGCTCTTCTTTTAACCGTAAACGTGCTATAGGCTGTTGACTATTGTTTGCAAAATCCGTCTTCGCATTTTGTGGTTTTATCTGTGATGCATTACTGTTGGCTGTGTTGTGGCTACTAGTTTTAGCAGCTGGTACATCATGATTATGTTTGCCCTCGTACGTGGTTATGACAGCTTTAGGGTCTGTTGAAGCCCTCTCAACATGCTTACGGACATTGCAACCATTGAATGTGCATTTATAATAACTCCTGTGCATCACAAAAGAAGACATAAAGAATATCTGACAATAGTACATAAAATAAGTAAAGACTCCAAATTTCATAGAGTTATCAGGCATCACAAAATTTATATGTTCGGTAGCCAATAACCCAAAAACTTAATTTCAAAGGAAATGACGAAACAATAATTTTTAAACTACAAGTATGCTGTATGGCTTAATTTAATTAATGGACTAGTCATTGTTCCAAACGCACACACAAACATACACATGTCCAGACAGAGCTTTATTCTCTTCTGAGCCAAAACCTAAAATTAATAGAATGAAGGAATTCAAATATAACAACTCTTGGTAAGCCTCACCAAGATCCCATATTGAGAAACCTTAATCTCATAAGTTTTTAACTTATAGAAAACGGCCCAACCATGGTATTTAAACTTAACATTATAGAAACACATTTTGTGTCAACTGTACACACTACTATTCAAGAGTTCGACTATAGAAAAATAAGAAACATTGGTTTTCTCCAAGGGCGAATGAGAACCTATAAAGACAGGAATGTTAAAATCAACATCCATAGTAAAGTTTAAACCCTTTTTCCTTCTTTGTGGATGAGTTATAGATTGTTTTTATAGCTGATACAATTATGATGACTACTTTTCACTTTCTGTAATGTCAAATATCTTAATTGCAAACATAATGAGTATTAAAGGACTCGATTTGAGAGACTTTCTACGGTAAATAGCAAACAGAAGTGATGATCAAGACAACAAATATAACAATCAAAGGATCATAAATAATGGACATAAATAGTTAAGAGCATAAACTAGAGGTTGCCTAAAGTGAGCAATGGGTTCATTGTTTTACATTCAATTATGTTGAAACAACGGAAGCAATTTGGATCCACTAAATTCACTGTCACTAGAAAAATGCCCAATAAGTAGAGGTTCATTAGACAAGCACAATCATAGTAAACTTAGCACATAAAGAGGTTAGAGATATCTGACCTAGGATAAGGATTGCCTTTGACAACTTTTTGGCCATATTTGCGCCATCTGTAGCCATCATCCAAAAGATCAACTTCACTGGTTGTCTGCACAATAATTCTAGGTTCTGTAACAGTTCTATGTGAGGAAGCTGGCTCTGAAACCCTGATCTCAGTATTTCTGCACCCAAGAAACCGGTGTTATAAGTAAAACAAAACAAACAATTGAACAAAGGGCTCTCATGTATGAGCAGGCACATCTTTTTTTTTTTTTTTTTGATAAGAAGACAAAGAAATTGCATTAATAATTATTTAGTGGAGAGCAGGTATATCTTCCCATAAAAAGCATTACCGTCTCTTTGGGTCAGGCTCATCTTCATCTTTCTCATCTACACCAGTTTCGGCATCACCCACTTCCTCGCTGTCACTTGTCCCAGATATATTTTCTGGTGTAGCCTGGCTAGATTCGTGATGCTTCAGTCTGTTTACATTTCCACTCTGATATTGAGAAGCTAATTCAGAACTCCCCTGATTATATGAATTTCCGTTTAAGTTTCCAGGATCCTTAGAACGTTTATTAGATTGAGGCGGTTGATGGTTGTGTTGCCCCTTGTAGATAATTTCAGTTATTTGGCCATCAAGAGATCGTTCAACCTTCTTCTTGACAGGGCAATTAGGACGTGTGCATTTGTAATAACTTCGAGGAAATTCACTGCCTTTCACCTGCTTCTGCCCATATTTGCGCCAGTTATAGAGGTCATCAGCTGGCTTATCAACAACATACAAAGAAGATTGTGGTCTCTGATCAGAATGAGAGAAGTCTGAGGAATCCTTAGTTTTTACTCTAGAGTCCGGCACTGCAGGTGGAATCTGCTGGTGTGTAGTTTTATTTACAGTAAATGATGAAATTTGTGGCATAGATGTTACAGGGGCTGAAGATGAATATTCAGCTGGGATATGCACATGGGATTGGGCTTGTGCAGCCCGGGCAGTGACCTGAGCAAGGGCCTGCTGGTGTGTCATTCCAAAGGCTCCCTGCATCCATCCATAATCAAGAAAATTAGTAATAGATACATGTCTGGGCTTTGGCTTACACAAGTAATATAACACTGATGAGGACTGAAATACAAATTGGGACGTAGCTTCAACAAGCTATGAGTAAGACAAGTTGCACTCACCCATTGCAAGCTCAGTCCTCAAATTAATTGACTGAAAGCTAATCCTCTTTCATTCTTGGTAGCAAATAAAGCCATGGCCAGATGGTAGGATTTCACATCTATTTGGCCTAAAGCTACCCAATGTTGTTTAAATTTTGGACATAGGAGTTAAATAGTGCACACAAAGACAACTGGATCTCCAAGAGCAGTAGCCAACTGCTTTTCAGTTGTGTGTGCTTTACATTATGCACATGGACATACAAATACATGTGAACATATGCTTCAGGTACAAATTTCAGTTCAGGGGTAATCTTTGTTCATGATAAACTCTTTTAACTGTAAAATAACATCTATAGTGCTTTACATAGCCTTCACATACAAAAGTAATGTCTACCTACAAAATTTTGGTCAATAACAAAAATGGAGGCCGTCTCACGATAAAGTTGCAGGATAAGCTGTTAATTACTAATCTGCCCATGTCATGGAGATCTTTCAGTACTTCAAAAGCAACTTTGTATAGCATGTGTCCAAATGATAAACAAAAATGATATACATGGCATTTAATTGGTATGCAAGGTGACAATAAGCTATTTGTACAGGGTAAGCTATTGAAAAAGTGAAGGTCTATAAAAAAATGATACAGCAAGAGAAAAGGGAGAGGCCAAGCAACTTCTGATAAACAAGATTGCTTCCACAGTACAAGGCATGCATCCCAAATAAGAATTTTGGCCATGAAGACAAATCCATGTTGGAACATTAACAATAAAATATCTCTGTCATTAACATACTGTTTGCTCAAACGTGGTCTGTATCATATGCAGTTGGCCAAACCAGCTAAAAACAGCTATAATTACCAACTTCCATTGTTAAGACCCAATGAAAAGGAATTTTCCTCAACTTTATCATATGATTATGCTGTTGGCTACTCTATTTTTCCCTACTTTGTGTATGGGTTACTTAGAGGGTTTTATTTTGTTTCCCCCTTCTTTCTGCCTTAAGAGGCAAACACAGTTGAACAAATTGGTAGGAAAGTTGCACAATGACCAACATAAATGAGCCAAAAAAATAATAATAATAAAAAAAAAAAAAATTAAATAAGCAAATCTTGGGTTTGATATGAAAAAGGCAACAATCTGAGTATCAGACAGTTGCAATCTTCTTAAGTAAGACCTATTTGGAAATATCAGATATGCTCCATTTAATTAGCCCTTTAAAGTTCTTATTTCTTAATTTAAGAAATTAAAACGATTGCCTCATATTAAGTTATTTTAACTTGCTACAAGTTCAAATTCCCACTTTACAATCCTTATGTTCAAAATCTGTTTAAAACAGTTGTTCATGAACTATTTTTTCTCTATGCCAAAAATTAATATAAATGACAGAGATAAATTATGACTAAACAAGAAAATTAAATGTCATTTTGACATTTATTCATTTATTACTCTAACCTTAATTCAACACAATCCTCATAACTAAAAAAAAAATTTAATGAAAACAAAAAACCATTTTCCTAAACAAACTTAAAGTTATTAATAATAAATAACTAAAACTTAAGCCAAACAATTGATGTTGAATTTAATCACCTGTCCAGGAGAGAACAATCCCAAATTCGGTGAGTCAAGCAGAGTCGCAGGGCTCAAGCCGGGCGGCACGGAGAAAATCGGCGACGGTTGCGTGATCACCAAACCAGACGGTCTATTATGCTTGAACCGAAAATCCATCTCACCACCTCCGCTGACGCCATCCCCCAAACTTCTCTCGACGTGCTCCTGTAAATTCGGTCTGAATTGGCCAGCAGGGGCGGGAGACGCCATGGCTCCGGCGAGCAGCTGAGAGAATGACTTGCACTCCTCGGAGTCGGAGAACAAGTTCGAAACCAAAGTCATGGGCCCGGGACTGAAACCCAGGCCCAGCCCCGAGCCAGTTCCCGGGCCGTTATTGAATAACGCTTCTGTGAATGAACCACGCGGTGGTAGCGTGATAGTCGGACGTGATGAAGGCATCGATGATTTTGTCGGCTGTGATGATGTCGTTGACGCTCGCTCTTCTTTCTGAGCCATTCGATTAAAAAACTAAATTAAAGTAAAGAAAGCAAAAGTAACTGTGTGTATAGTTATGGAGCTTGGAAGTCGGTTGTTTTAAGCTTTTGGATTAACGGATCTGAAATTCAGCAAAAAGTCCACGCCCCCACATATCGAAAAGCTCTCTGTGTTTTAAGTTTCTTTCTGGTTTTTGTCTGTTTCCTGTGGGTTAGACGAAGTACAACGAAACTTGCTGATTGGTTGGCCGCTTCTTTTATTCACGAAGTTTACTGTTTTCTCCTTGTCGACTGCTCAATTCTTGAGAAGGATAGAGCAGGCTTTTTGATATTTTATCCACGTTTCAATTTGGTATATCTTGTGACGACTCTCAGAGAGACTTAACCATTTTTTTTTATATATTTATTTATATATATAGAACTATGTTTTTGGTTATAAGGTTTCACTCTGATTGGGGCGATCGATGACGTGTTACGCGCCTGCTTGTGCTCGAGATTGTGTGACATCTGGGTTTTATGTATAATTTATTTATTTATTAAATTGGAAATTCCTTTAAGTGGCACCGAGAGATTTGATTAAAGTGGAGTAGTGGACCCATCTATGAAAATATTTTAATCGATGATTTCGATGTCTTTTTAAGTTTTTAAAAAAAAAATGATAAATAAGCTAAAATGGGTTGTAAAGAAAGTTACATCTATAATTTGAAATATACAATACCAAATGTTCAGATATATGTTGAATTAAAAAAATAATAAAAAAATTCAAAATTAATATATATATATATATATTATTAACCTTAGAAACTAAGTTTTGAAAAAGATAATTGATGAGATCAGAATTAGACAAAAAAAAGGTGTTTCACTTTCACATCAATATGTAAGACTTTATATTAACCAGAGGTAGAGTCAAGACGAAGAAGAAGACGTGCACACATGTTTGTTTAACAAGTTGATAGTCCGTTAGCGAATGGCAAAACTTATGGTATTAAACAATGCCAACAATTATTACTATATTTTTTTGTCATCTTCTCATCACATTATAGGTAGAGTTTGTCAAATTACCCTCTTTAGCTTCATGGCCATGCTTAATGAAGCACGCATTGTCGATTTGGGTAACAAAATATGTGTTTAAACCAGAAATTGAAACAGTATTAATTTGAAATTTGGAAGAGGGTATGTGAAGGTGTGTTTTGGATTTTGATGGATCGTGGGAGACTTACTGGTGGTGTTGATTGATGCATGCAAATGCAAGTTGGCAAAGCCATTATTAAGTTAAGTTTTGTCAATTGATGGATAGCTGCAATATATGTGTGTGCAGAGCACGTAGCCCCCACTTTGAAAGCATCATGCATGCTTATATCATGCATGTTTATATCACACGTTTTCTTCGTGCGCCTGCGCTGCTCCTTGCTGCTTAATTGGGTCCACTGTATTATTATTATTATTATTATTATTATTATTATTATTATTATTATTATTTCTAACCGAGGATGTCTAGACCAGTTTACATACATCTATATTAGAGTCTTACATTGACTAAGTATACTCAAGTTTATTGGTTTATAAGAGGGAATAATCTTCATATTCAACAAGACTTTATTGGGTGAGGAGTCAGACCCACCTCAAATTCTATCATAGTATCAGAACTCAGGTTCAGTTGAGTTGAGTGTTTGACCAGCGAGTTAGGAGTTAGAGCTGACAATTATCTCCAATAACAGGCATGATCCAACATATCAACTTGATCATAAGGAGGAGTGTTAGAGTCTCACACTAACCAGACACGTTCAAGCATACTGATTTATAAGAGGGGGTCTTATTGGGTGAGGAGTCAGACCCACCTCAAACCAATATATGGGCTTGACCGTGAGGAGGAGTGTTAGAGTCTCACACCAACTAGACACGTTTAAGCATACTGGTTTATAAGAGGGAGTAATTCTCCCATTCAACAAGATCTTATTGGGTGAGGAGTCTGACCCACTTTAAATTCTATCAATCTCAGCTAATTCTCTGAAGTTTTGAAGTTAACGGTCGGATAATCCTCTAGTGTAGCCACCCCTATTAACAATAGAGAAGAATCGAACTCAAGACCTCTCGAATAATACACCCAAAAGTCCTAGTTGAGCACGTGAGTCATGATTGGTCCACTGTACTTGTGTCCTCATCTATTATATTTTAACTCATTAATGATTCTCAAATCTTCAATCATCTTCCACAATTAGAGATGGAAGTATATTCATCTTCCACAATCAATTTTATGGTTTTTTTTTTTTTTTTTTACTTAATAAAAAATTCAAACATCGAAATTTATATTAGTCATAAAGTATTTATTTATAGGATTATAAAAAATAGTCAATAAAAGTTTAATTCTTTTGAATTTAAAATGTTTGGATATGTATTTATATGGAAGGTGGAGAGTATTTATGCTTGCAATAAATATAATTCCACCTTTTAATTGGTTCCAACCCAGATGAGATGATTGAGGTTGCGTTTGTTTATTGTCTGAAAGCTGAATGCATATGTTTCCTGAATATATCTGAATATATAAGTTTGATTGATATATTTATTTTTTAATTATTCAATATCTAATTATAAGTATAGAATGGTTTGTTTTTATATAGTATAAACATCTTAAAACCAATGTTTTGACACATATATCCTTATTACGTATAATATAGTTTTATATTTTATATTTTTTTCAACCATTTTAAATTATTAAATTTTGAAAATTATAACAAAACAAATGTATATTAATTAAATGTTATTATATTTTGAGATAATATTTAAATTTTTATTATAAAAAAATTAAAATAATACTACAAATATATATTCATAAAAGTCTTGTCAAAATTGGAATTATATAAAATTAATAGAGGTATTATTGACAAAATAAAATTATAATTGATTAAGATGTATTAGTAACAAGATAAAAGCTAAATATTTAGTTTTTTTACTTATATCTAATAATTAATATAAGTAAACAAAAACTTAAAACATTTTAATCTATTAAAATTAATTATATTAACTATTAAGACTTGAAAAAAAAAATCATAGTTTAATTCTTTAGATTTTTTATTTTATTAATTATATTTTGGGTGGATTCAGATTTGGAACGTGGTAGATTCAAGTGATGGGACTAAGCGGTGTTACTAAAGTAAATCTATTATCTATGATGATGATTTATGAATAGTGGAATACTTAATTAATTAATTGATGTAATCGCTTACGTTCATTGGCTCACTGTACCATTAAACCATTAACCATTAATGTCGCCTCATTTAACGGTTAGTGGATTGGGAACTACTATTTGCATGCTTTTCCATCGATTTTTATTTAACAAGGTGTTTGGGTAAGTCGTAAATATCTTAATTAATCTTTTAAAATCTTGAAGTTAGTAATAAAATAAATCTCCTCAATAAACATCTTTATTAACAACTCAAATAAATCAAACCTAAAACTTTTTGAGTAATACAGTTATGAGTTATAATTAACCAATCAATTAACAGTGGTTCTTTTCTATTAATTTTACTATTTAGTATTTAATTAAAAGGTTACCGATCTTTTTAACTAAAATATTCGAAAAAAGTAACTTTTTTTTTTTTTTTTTTTAATGAATATCAATTTGCAAATGTTCTTGGAGTTTTTTTTGCGGCTGATGGGTGCTTGGCAGGTGGTTGTCTGGTTCCTTTTTCTGTGGAAAGCTGGTGTTAGTGGTCTGGTGTGTGACTTCCTGCTGGCTGGTCTGCTGATGGTTTTCGGTTTTCGTTGAGCTGGTGTGTGGCTGTGACAGTGTTTCATGTGGTTTTGAGATGCTGGTGGTTGGGTTCTTCGGCTGCTGCTCTTGGGTGTTTTGTGGCTGGTTTCTGGCCTGTCTCAAGGCTTGTGTGTTTTGATGCCCTGGCTGTTTGTTGTTGCTTTTGGGGTCTGTTTGTGTGTGTAAAAGTTTGTACATCCTGGTTTTCTCTTGTTTTTCTGTGCTTTCTCGTCCCTCTCTTGTGAGTTGGTCATGCGGCTTCGGGTTTTTTTCCCCGGTAGAACATTCATTATTCTTTATAAAATTATAAAGAATAGTATTTTTAAAATATTATTAGTAGGTAAAATTGGGTGATTATTACGAGATAGAATTTAAAAATTATAAAAAAACCTCATAGGTTTGCTAATTTAACTTAATACCCAAATATATAATTTTTTTTGTAAAATGACAAAAACACCCCCATCACTCACAGTTGCCAGATTTCGGACACCACTATCGGAATCTGGCGTTACGGCCCACGATCGATTGGATCTGGTCGATCGTGTGTTGAGATGATCTTTTCCAGCCAGATACATCATGGATTTGGCCAGAAAATGCCAGATCTACGGTCAGATCTGGCCGTGTTTGGTCATCAACGACGGCCATGTCTTGGTCGTCGTTGAAGACTAGCTACGGCCAAAGATCTGGCCTTTTCTGACTAGATCTACGGTGGATCTAGCAGGTAAATGATAGATCGGTGTACTACCGACCAGATCTAGCCAGTAGTGTACCATTATACCAGATTCTGACCATATTCTGACGGTGGTGGCCGGAATCTGACAAATGTGGGTAGGTGAGGGTTTTTTTTGTGAATTTTTAAACTTTTTTTTGGGAGATATTTAGTTAAATTAATAAACTTAGAAGATTTAAAAATAGTTAAATAAAATATAATAATATTTTCAGAATAAGGAAACAGATAGAGTATTTTGAAAATAGTATTAATAAGAAAGGAAAAAATAATTCAACAAACGGATTAAGTACGGAGCCTTTGGGCCTAACTTGCGTTATGTATTTCGTCAGTCGATGCAATAGTATACGTGCAATGGACCAGCAATGCTTTCCACCTCCACATAATCAATTATTAAATATTAACTAACTTTAAAACTGATAAAACATATTTAACCGACAAGCTTAAATCAGTAAGCTCCAGGTTGTAGCATTAATTTATGAAATTAAACTGTTATGTCTAAAAAGTCACACTTATATCAACTCAATAAATGTCTTTTTATATTAGCTGTCAAACCTATATCTCCTCAAAGATATTCATACCAACCCTATCTTATTTCAAGAGATGAATGGACGAGTGTCTTCTATGTGTCACTGCAACTTGCAAAACACTCATTACATTAGCCTCAAAGGTGTATAAGTTGACATTTCTCTTCTTGAAAAGGGGGGCTGGGCATATAAGAGTTAGACATAGGTTTGAGATCAATCATTT